ATCATCAGCAAGCTTGAATATCGGAGAAATAATAATTAATGTCGCGGCGTCTTCAATTAATTAATTAAAGCAATTCAGTTCCATATGATGTTTTCATAAATAATATATAATGTACGCAATAAAATTAATAAGTTCTTCATCAAGATATATTTCAGTTGTTCCAGCGTGTACACCTATACCGGAAGTGGGTATAACACGTCACAATCTCGGTCTCGTCTGTCTCGCGAGAATGACAGAACGCCAAAATGGCGGCGCCCATGAACTTATTTCTCAAGTAAAAAATAGTGTCTTAAAACATGAATTTCTCTCTTATAGGGTTGATGTCAATAGTAAAACTGTCATGGTTCCTCTTTTTAAATGATGAATATTTATATTAGACAGACATCAATCCATCCATTCCTATTCCTTTAAACAATCTGGACAATGCTCTTAGTACAAGAGGACTGATATCGTGGTCAACTAATACATGTTCTTCCGCTTACGCTTTTGTAATCCAAAATTTTAATCACTAACACGTTACCAGTAATTTAACACATGTATGATGTAAACATTAACTGAGTGACTTAATTCCAAGTGTAGACGCTTTCCGAAGTGCACAATTTCTTGGGAAACTTTACAGCGTTAAACGTGTACATCATATCAACAATAGGGTCTTTAATTATCGCTCAGCTAGACATCTGGGCCAGGTCAATTTCGTCAAGGGATCATGATTTTGAACATAATACTATGCGTCATTAAAAGTCAAATACCATTGTTCTATATAATAGAATGCCTTCCGGATTATTGAAAGATAATTTTGCAAAGATTATCCCGTGAAATTTCGGGTAATCTACAGAGGGGAGTAAATTTGACGGATGAGCAAATTAGTTTCTTTTCATGAAAGTAACGTATAAACAGAAACATACACATGTACAAATTCATCCCCATCCTACCTGAAATTACGTGTACAGTTTGTGGAAATAAAGCAAAGAAAATTGAATGGGAGATATTCATCAGCATCTCAAGTTCACAAGCCTTAGAGATGTCGATTGCAAAATTCATTAGACGTTTACGATTTGACGAAACAAATGCAACTCACCGAAGCGCTTGTCAAAAATCAATAAATTCGCCCATTGCCCGCACTTACAACAATGTTTGTTTCATGTCACCAAGTACGGCGGTTCTCTTTGATAGCAGCGTAGTATAAAGTTGCAGTTTGTAACGAACGAAACACACTATTTAAAAATAGACGCAAATTTCATAGACTTGTCTATGACCCTATACCACTATCTGGGCATTTTATGAAATTTATATCTTTTTATTTTTTTTTATTAGGGAACATAAATGTGAAAAGATGCATCTGGTTCATTTGATATCTTAAAATGTTAATTATTTCTACTCATATAATGTAAACATGTTTCAGTTATAGAGAGTGCTATTTTTAGATTTAATTCAATACGCAGCATATATGTACATAATAATATTATAGTGTAACGGACTAATCAATTTACAGGGACTGCCGGTTGTAAAGACACGGTTTCCAAATAAGTCACATTTAGTGAGGATTTTATGTGTTTAAATTAATTACTGAAATAAAACGAACATAACTATCAAACCTTGCGTGATCAAATGGGTTGAAATGTGTGGAGTCTATTTAACACGCAGCTCCAGCCGGTGGGGTGGTTTTGACCCCCCGGTGCTGCTTTTAAATTCGTAACACCCGAGGTTTGCCAAAATTATCTTTCCTGTCCGGCGCCATATAACCTAAACTGTGTTGCGGTGCCGTAAAACCCAACAAATCAATCATAATTCATGTTAACTTTTGGTATGCTTAGGGTGAATATAACATGCAACCATTTCAAACAGCTTGGAACCAGACCAAAGTTCGAGAACCTCGTCGCCTGACCAGATCCCAGGCTGCCTGAACGCCTTTTCGCAGAGTCTCAAAAATACTGTATTGTTTTGTTATTAAATACTAGTAAATAATATTATTTTAAAAATTCGAAAGATCTAGTGTATTTAAACATTTTTTATTTTGTTAAAAAAATTTAGGGATTTGCCGATTAAAAGGGCATGGGCTTGAATTTTGCTTTATACACCTTTCTTTACGAAAAAAAAGAAAAAAAATGCCTAAAAGTTACGCAAAAATTTGAACCAACACCACATTGTTATTTTTACCAAAGCGTAACCGGGGAACGAAAAAATACAAAAAGGGAAACGTTTGTAAAACTAAGACTTAAAGCAGAATGGTTGTCTCTATATCAAAACTGTCGACATACCAGTATTTATGTTGTAGTATAAATGCCGCGTCAATATGTGTTAAAATAGCGGCATATTTAGTTTTGGAAGCCGGGACTACACGTACTTACCTATATATACAATTGCACTTATTTTGCATTAAAGTGCCAAACGGCAAGATTATGGGACATGTACACTTTTACATACACTTCTGGTTTTATTTGCAAAAAATGTGTGTTCACAGTTTCGGGATACTTTTGCACGACGATGCTATCTGACTTCATAGATAACTTATAAATTTTCATTTCTAGTTATTGCGGGAAGTCATAAAATTAGCTGTAATTTTCGATAATTACGGTAAACAAAATAAATCTGTTGTAATTCATTGGATAAACAAAAGCTAAAAATATATCACAAAAAAACTAATTCGAATATTTTAATTTATAAAAAGTTCCACAACTCGCAATGCATTTTAGCTGATGATACCAGAAATCGAAAATATATGACCTTTTCTTGGTAGGACCAGAGCTGCATCAGTACTAAGGGTGTAGTAATTAAGTACCAGTACCAGTACCTGGCAAATTATGCAGTACCATTACCAGTACCAGTACTAGACTTTAGCTCGGTACTGCAGTACCAGTACTTTTTTTGGTGAAGTAATTAAGTATCAGTACCATTACTTTTATATATTCATCAAAGTTTGAATAAACACAGTGTCAAACAAATAATTGCAAGTATTATTCAGCAAAGAAATAAAATCACTTTAAAGTTAACATAACATATTTACAACTTTATAGTTTTAACATACTTTTTACAAACAATATTTACAACATATATTCATGTCATATCTAATTGTTTAGTAACCAGTCAACTGTATAAATACAATGCAAACATCTTTCATTTAAAACACAACAGTTTTTTGTTGCCTTTCACACCTTCACACCTCTGTTCAATTTATACCAAAGTAAATAACAACTTTTTATGGTGCTAACAATATCACTTTTTTCACTTGAAATGGGTTTATTTAGAATAGAAGAAATTAATAAGTGTTTATTTTGCTCTTTTACTAGTAAATACAAAGTAATAAAAGATTTCAATAAGGATATTTTAGGGTAAAGAGTTATTTAGTCTGTTTATCTTAATTTAATTTTTACTTAAAGTCTTTGGTGCTTTTTATGATGAATACTATGTTAACATTTGAATGAATATTGCAGCAAATTATCTTTAGATTTGATAACTTACTTTTTCACAAAAATAAAATATAGTTAATGTAATTTACAGCTTTATTTTATGAGAAAAAATTGATGCTATTTTTAATTTTTTATCAAAACCAAAAGTACTGGGTAATGCAGTAGCAGTACCACTTTTTAAGACAGTAATGCAGTACCAGTACCAGTAGTAGCAAAATTTTGTAAGAGTAATTCAGTATCAGTACCAGTACTTGCAAAATCACTGCAGTACGTACTGCAGTACCAGTACCAGTACCAGTAATGCAGCTCTGGGTAGGACCCCAGTATATAATTCTACTGACTATTGAGAGCTCTAGTTTTATCTTCACTTGTTCGTTCTTAACAGAAATTCGATTCATTTTTTTTTTCCTGTCCACAATGATTGAACGCTACTGTAAAGAAATTTCAAAAATAAAAATATTTATAGATCTCTCGATAGCGGACTCGGTTTTATTGAAGTGCGTGGGCCCACATATATACATGTAAAGTGTAGCTGACACAACCTCTCCTTATTTGGAAAGTCTCGAAACAGCGATTTTAAAGGCGGGGCTTTGGTGGTACGTTTATCGGGTTTTGACAGGCATATCGACGGGTTTCGTTTTTCACGCTACAGTGTAAAGCTAATCAATTTTGCAAGCGGTAGTAGTAATAACGGATGAGGTCTAGAATAGAGCTGTGTTTTCCAAGGAACAACATCAATTTTTGGTTAGGTAAACTGCCTGCGTAAGAAAGTTGAAATACTGAAAACAGGCGTTACACCCATTCAAGTACAAGTTATCGTATTTTTTGACATGTAAACTCCCTGTTATCTAACGTTTCGTCAGTACCAGCAGCCAGCAGGTCAACACAATTTGATTAATTCTTTTTGCGAATGACATGAATTATCAGGCGTGATTTAATTAGCTGTGTAAAAGGTATGGATACAAAATATTATACATGTATTACTTAAGGTTATGACAAGTTTGACCATTCCAGTATAATTTAAACTACATGTACTTGGTCTAACTACCAAGCGGACTAAACTTTTATGACAACGTTTGCGCTAGTTGTGTTCTTTGTAAGGATGTTTGTCATGGAGAATACAGGTAAGATAGATAGAAAAGCTGGTTGTGCTGTACTACATCTACAGTGACAGCTAAATGGTACATTCATGTAATACCACGGCCTTAAAACTGTGTGTAAAAAGTACAGGGACTTACGTTGTACCTTACATAACTGGTGTTGACATTAAACGTCACTCATATGTCATTGCCGCTAATTTTGTTCTCGTATATAAACAGAAAGGGTCAATACATGGAATATTTTAGATTTTAAAGATACAAAAATTCTACTTGTATTGCCATTTTGGCTTGACCTTGATCTGTAAACAAGCGGAAAGCGAGTGTAATTTGCAAATGTATAATGGCCTGGTGTCCGTTTCCGCTACGTTTTTAATGGTACCTACTGTAGGTGAATATTGCACTGTTGCACTCAAGATTGAAGTAAAAGTTATTGTTTGGTAAACTTAGATATTACTAGTTCCCAAAGTTCCTATATACATACAAACTTTATAAAAACTATAAATTCTGAATTTAACAATCCAGTTTGCAGTCTTAATCATACAAGATTTTACATTCCATCTCTTACATGTTGACAAGATACTGTGTTTTGGTATATAAAAAAGACAATACTCAAATTTCTTAAAACCTACTTAGAGACATGATTCTTTGGTACACAACTATAAAACAATTATAGCCATTCAATAAGTATTTACCAACTCTTGATCAAATTAACTTATAAGAAAGTACTTCATCAAGTATTTCTCTACTCTCTTATTTTCTCTACCCTCTAATTGTAACTGTTTGCAGAAAGTTCTTCAAAAAGAAGTTAGGCCAATGAATGTCAATTATTGATCCTGATGTCTGTATAACATTTCAATCTTTTTCAAATCTAGAACTCTGACATATAGCTTTAGCAGCAATTTTCCTGCCAGTAGAGTTTGTGAGGTCACAAATCTGTAATATCTTCTCGTTACCAAACACTCCAGGGATACATTTCAAGATCTGACATAGCTGAAACAAATAAACAAAACATAAACACAACTGAAACAAATATACATAACATAAAAATGTCAGTTTATTTGCTTAGTTTTAACTCTTAAGTTGGTCATATCTCAGCGATAGGTCCACCTAACACGCTTTCTTAGATAATTAATCAGTAATTAACCAATTTCTGTGATAGTGACTGACTACAAATCCTATGAGACTTCTAAAATCAGAGGTGTGAGACACATGACCATTAGACTCACTAATCAAGAGAAATTTTGCTTTGCCTGATTACCAAACCAGTGAACGCTGTGCTCTCCGTATTAAGCTTATCAGCAAACTAGAATGTGATAAGGTCATGTTAATATATTCATACATACACAACACAACATATGAGTTAAGTTAATTGTAACATGCTTTATAAATAACAGTCTTTAACTGGGATAGCATAAAAATATCTGGAGTGCTATCTTCATTTCACATTTGATGTATTATGTAAACAATTGTGAGATATTTGTCTCTGTTTCAATAGAAAATATACTTGCTAACATAGGAAAACATTTTCTGAATTTTCATGTGTTTGAACCAGTGCTGAAAAATGGGCTTATCCACCCATATATGATAAATGTAAATAAAGGGGGACAAAACACTTATTTTCAATCATAACTCCTTACCATATTTGGAGGCATGAACTGTAGAATATATCTGGAATATTGTCCACATCTGATGGCTTCATCAATAAAACTGATAACAAAACTTGTCTTGGGACTCACATTTCCATCATGTACAATAGCATTCATCAGTCGGAATAAGTTCACTAAAATATATATACATTTCTAATTAGAGTTTTATATTAACAGTTTGTAAATAAGTGTACATTAAACTCGGTTAGTTTGTTATTTACTGTATATCAGACTTAGTCAGTTAGTTATTTACTGTATATCAGACTTAGTCAGTTTGTTATTTACTGTATATCAGACTTAGACAGTTTGTTATTTACTGTATATCAGACTTAGTCAGTTAGTTATTCACTGTATATCAGACTTAGTAAGTTTATTATTTATTGTATATCAGACAAGTCAGCTTGTTATTTACTGTATATGAGACTTAGTCAGTTTGTTATTTACAGTATATCAGACTTAGTCACTTTGTTATTTACTGTATATCAGACTTAATCAGTTTGTTATTTACTGTATATCAGACTTAATCAGTTTGTTATTTACTGTATATCAGACTTTGTCAGTTTGTCTTTCACTGTATATCAGACTTAGTCAGTTTGTTATTTACTGTATATCAGACTTAGTCAGTTTGTTATTTACTGTATATCAGACTTAGTCAGTTTGTTATTTACTGTATATCAGACTTAATCAGTTTGTTATTTACTGTATATCAGACTTAGTCAGTTTGTTATTTACTGTATATCAGACTTAGTCAGTTTGTTATTTAATGTATATCAGACTTAATCAGTTTGTTATTTACTGTATATTAGACTTAGCCAGTTAGTTATTTACTGTATATTAGACTCAGTCAGTTTGTTATTTACTGTATATCAGACTTAGTCAGTTTGTCATTTACTGTATATTAGACTTAGCCAGTTAGTTATTTACTGTATATTAGACTCAGTCAGTTTGTTATTTACTGTATATCAGACTTTGTAAATTAGTGTAGATCAGACTCAGTATGTAGATGGATATAAATCAAACATAATTGGTTTCAATCAAATGCAGCCTATTGGTTAATGAGAGAATGGAAAACATCTAACGGATTGGGAATATTTACATTTTATAGTGCATATAAACCAAATTGTGTTTGATTTTTGTTTACCTATCAAGAAACATGTGGTTTCTTGCTACTCCTGTCCTATCAAGAGAAGAAGTATATTCATATATATAAATCATTAAAGTTTGTATATCAGCTATTAAAGTACAAGTATGAACTTACATAGAGCTTTATTGAGGGGATCTTTTGTGTCAATAATAGGACTGGAATCACCATCCTCCTTCACATTGAGAAAATCTGAAAACCATCCAATATATAAATATATACATTTATACAAATATTTCATAGTTTTCTTCTTTTTTTCTTGTACAAAATATAAGTAACAAATTTTCAGTGATCAAAACGTAATCCCTAGAAATAACAGCAGTCAACTATGCATTTTTGTCAACAAATTTCTCAAACCAAACCTGAAATATGAAATCTATCAACAATTTACCAGGTGTTATGGTGAAATACTTGAATGGAAATGCAAAATGTAAAGAGCTAGACATGTTAGGTTTTTATAACAGCTTGTTTTAGTCTGTAAAGAAAACGATTCTAAAATTAACCCTTGGCCGAATGGATTTGCCCATGTGATCAGTGCAGACCAAGATCAGTCAGCATGCCAGCTATTCAGTCTGTACATATTCTGACATTTTACCAAAGATGGACGAATGGTTTTGTCCAAATTGAAAAATGGACAAGTTGATTAAAGATAAATAAAGTAGAAAGGGTTAAAATAAGACTGAAATATACATAAAAAGAATTTTATGATTAAATCAGCAAATAACCCAGCACTAAATAAACATACCAAAATTAAACCCCTCTGAATCTAGTGTAATCTGTGGCTCCATAGTTTTACTACGTTTCTGTGGGTGTGTATCATCCAGGTCATCAAGGTCAAATTCTTTACGTGACCTCTTTCTGCCTCGGCTATACATTGTGGATGTTTCTGCTACAATACAAATATGAACAGAAAACTTTAATTAACATATCACACCAGATATATCAATTATTCTTAGTTAAATCAATGACAAACTGCAGGTATCCCTACAGGGGACATATGACAACCCTGGCTTTACTGCTCCTGGTATTCCCAAGATGTCACTCTATGCATCAAATTTTAGCAGGATTTGCACATAGTTGTCAGAACAATCATCCTATTATGAATTATTCAATCTTAACAGTTTCTAAAAAAACAAATGTTCTCATATGTTTATACAAATACATGACAAAATTTGACAAGCAACTAAACACATACATGTAAGACAGAAATACCTAAACAAAATAACTGTAGCATATACTACATTATGAAAGTTTACCTTTTTGTGATGATTTAGCTGTCTGAGCTGATGTGACAGCCAGTACACAATATTTGGCTAGAGTGTAGCCTTTAGGGTCTGTAAGTTGGACATGTTTATCAGCTGAGAGAAGCAGACCGGGAATAGTGTGTAGAAGAAGACTAAGTGTTATATGCTCGAGATCCATGTGTGACACGGCAAGCACCAAGCTCAGATTCAAGCTCATATCCTCAACTCTGTAACTGTCCAGCATATGCTGTAATATATAAACATCACAGTGTACATATTATTTTCATAAAACAGTTCTGGAAAAAATTCCTTTCTACAACAATGAAAACTGATTATTTCTTTATTAAAAATCTAGACTCATGTTTCAGAATGTTAATAAGCGACAGATAAACAAAACTTTCTAACATATCATGTACAAGATGTCCAATTTACTATTATGTGTAATGAAATTTACAAACTTTTACAACTTTACATGTTTCACAAAATTCCTTGGTATATCAGCAAACCAGTGTAAACTTTACTCAACGTAACAAGTAAAAACACCAGTCTAAAGTTAACTTTAATACCAGCAAACCAGTCAAAACTTTTCTTACCATAACCAGTCTATCAGCAAACCAGTCTGACCCACACAGGTTTAAGATAACCTCTAGTGTTCTCAGACATTCCATATCCATCCAGCCCTTTGAGAACAGTCCTTTCATAGTCTTTGCCATAACTTCTGCTGGTAAAGTGTTTGCTGGGATATATTGAGGAGTGGGTGGACGCTTTGATGGTGGCAAAATCTCATGTATCATCTTCTGTACTATTAAATGCATCAGATGTGATCTGTTTAAAAAACAAGGTATAATATTAGAAATAATTTTACGATCTAGTACCATAATATAAACAGGAACCTTCATTTTACTTTAGATTAACAATCACTTCATTATGATTTTATGAAAGAATTCAATAGAATGATTCAAATCTACAGCAGGAACATCCTTCAGGGTAGTACTAAAAGAGTTCATTTCCCCTGCTTTTAAACAATATTATCCTTACATATTTCCCTACCTTCCAAAGTATTATTGTGGTGTTTTCAAAGTAGTATTGTGGTGTATTTCCCTACCTTTCAAAGTAGTATTGAGGTTTATTTCCAATATTGTGGTCTATTTCCCTACCTTTCTGGGAAGTATTGCAGTGTACTTCCCTACCTTTCAAATAATAATTGTGGTGAATTTTCCTACCTTTCAAAGAAGTATTTAGATGTACTTTCCTACCTTTCAAAGTAGTATTGTGGTGTAACTTGCTACCTTTCCAAGTAGTATTGTGGTGTACTACTTCCCTACTATTCAAAGTAGTATTGTGATTTATTTCCAGTATTGTGGTGTATTTTCCCAGTTTTTAAGTAGTATTGTGGTGTATTTCCCTACCTTTCTGAATAGTATTGTGGTGTATTTTCCCCTGTCAAAGGTTGTATCAACTGTTGTAGCATTGACAGTGGTTTAGTGCGGGCATCATCACTCAACATGTTAATATAACTACACAACCAGGCAGACACAACGATTGGTAAACATAACATGCGGTTCTTTACATAACCCAATATCATCTGTAATATAAAAATATCTTAGTACATGTTGAATAAACCAACAAAATCATGTCCATTTGTTTGTACCTTAAATCATTTATAAAAAACATAAATAATTTTCTCCTTTATTTAAGTGCAAATAACCTTTTTTCCAAATGAAGTAACTTTTATATAAGAAATGTAAATTAACATCACAAAATATTATCTTGACAAAGTCTTGATAAACTGGCAAATATAAGTCAAGAATGAGATCAGAAAGACAGTGAAATTACAAAAATGCATTCACACACACAAACTTACCTTTATACTATCTGATGCTATAGAACCATGTTCCCAGGCAAACAGAACCTCTTGTATCGCCCATGGTATATTTGTACAAATCTCATGCCATTTTGGTGCTCTGAAATAAAATTAAACATTGCTGATGCCACTGGACCCTGCCTTGTCAACATTTTTTATGCATATCTGAATTAGACCTTTGAAACACTTAAATGAGCCACTTTTTTAAAATGGCAATTCTGTAAATATCAGCCTTTTTTTATTAAGATTAATGATAAAACTGTTACTAACAGGGTAGTTAACCCTATAGAACACATGAACTAAGTCATTGTAGCTTTCAGTCATACACAAATCACAACCACAACACCAGTTTTAGTTCAACTTTCTTAACATCTGAAAACTGAACTAGTACTCTTGTCAAAAAACAACAGTAAAAATCAATAAATTTTCTTTCCATTCCACAGTTTTTAAGAGCCGAATGAGAGTGTTTAATTCAAACATTTTAAACATAGTTGAATATAACAAGTTACCTACCCCTGTGAGAGATCTGTCCCCTGTGTAAGAGCATTGAGGAGGAAATCCACTTTTGCTGTATCAACAGGCATACTGTTATCTACAGATTTATACTTGCCATCTTCTGGGAAACATTTGAGTGCCCACTGTACAAAAAATGTATCCATACACTCTGCACTTGACATAATCATCTACAATATAAGGAAAATATAGGATGAGCAACACAGAAATATGTCAAATCCTTATCAACATATTCAGCTATTGAATCAGGCATTGAGAATAAGTACTAAATGCTGATAAGATGTTCAGAGGGCTCTCACATATCAAATATTAAGTAAACATTTTAGAATATGAACTTCCTACAATAGTTAGCAAGTGAAACTAGTGGACAATGATGATGGAATATATGTAAATAATATACAAAAGTATTAGCCCACCCAGCTCACCCAAAGCTGACCATCCTTTTTACAATTACAATCTGAGAAATCTCTCACACAAAATAACTATCTTGAAATTTAAAAAAAAACAGGCACACTTTTTACCAGGAAGATTTGCACAAAAATTATACAAATATTTACAAAGAAGCACTTGATAACACTACAAAATACCTTAGAAATACCTTTCTACTGTAAGCATTCTTTACAAATAGTTAAATCTGAAAATAGCTTACCTCTGTACCATACACCTGTGTTATATGACATAACATAAGAAATGAGATGTCAAACAGCCACGCCCTAAACTGTGATGCCTTGCCCCCTTCACCTGGACTCTGTCGGGCAAACTCACTGATCCTGTACAGACAAGATTACAAGGTTAGTTAACAAAACACTAGTGAAATGAATGATATCTCTGTTTTCAATTAACAAAATTGAGTACTAGAAAATTTATACATCTATACTTGCCTAATAAAGTAGATAAATTAGAGGAGTTCCCAACTTTGCAGGAGATTTACTAGAATAAATCAATTTCATGCTGAAGTTCGAGATGCCCAAATTATCTAGAAATAGCAGTTTAGCATATAAAAGAAAGGAACATACTTGATTAGTTTGAAGCAGAAGATTTGAAGTTTTCCAGTAGCAGCGGCTGCCGCCAGGATCAAACCAAAGTTCTTGCCAGATAACATGTGATGTAACACCCCAAACAAGGATTCCTGGTTCTTTGAATAGTCTGCATCTAATGTCTGAATGATGAAAAAATAATTTATTATGTAATACAGTATTAACATGTTATATGCATGAATCATTATTAAATATGAGTCTGGACAAATGTCTTAAAGTTTGAAATCTATATTTTATTTCAAAATTACATGTCGTTTCTCTATGATAATGAAGACTTTAAATCTTTTTCACACATTCCTATTTCTGAGCTATGTTGCTAATATCTCAAAACAATTATTGATAAAACAAAATCTATATGCTAAATATTAAAACTTTTTTATTGATAATGATATTTAAAACCATACAAGCTGAATTAATACATGTATATCAACTTTTAATTAACATTTTACCTACTTCATCTAAACAATTGCCACATTTTTATCACATGTGACCATACAAAGAAAGTCCAGAATTTGTATGCACAAATATACATGTATATACAAAAATTTTGCAACATTTATTGCATATTTGTATAATTGTAGTATTTCCATACAAAAAACAATGAAATGGTTCGGAATGAACAAAATCATTAGTCAAAATAACATACTTTATACATATTATATATATTGTGACATAGTTAACCAGAGTAAGGATGAACGAGGAGGAATGAAATTATTTACCCAAACAAAAGTGATATATGCCCGATTTAGTGAAAAAAGGATTCATATGGTACTGAATAGATCTGGACTTGAACCAAGATTGGAGGAGCCCCTAGTCTGATTATTATATCACATTTCAGATCAACATATTTAGAGAGGGAGGTAATATGTTAATAATGTAAATGTATAAATCAAGCACAAACATTACCTTAAGTATACTATTGAAGGTTGTTTCTGCCCTAATAATTAAAGCAGCACATGTCTGCTGGTCATTGGGTCGTGGCTTCTGGGAATCTCTATTTCTATAAAAGAAAAACTGTTCATATTGATTTTATGCATGATAATATATAATGTACAATGTAATATAATTAGTATAATGTAAAAACACGTTATCATATTTCAAGTGTTCAGTAATCTTGAATTATTGTTGTATAAAAGAATCACAAGAATGATTTTTTTACTCCTTTCATTCTTTTTTTTTTTTAAAGTTCATCAACATGTGTTTCCTTTTATAAAATATTCTGAACTTCTATGTGTTGATTTTTTCATCAAGACCACAGGGTGTGATAAAGTACATGTTAATATTGAGAAAAGTCTATCACTGGTATCTTACCTTTTTACTTGTATATGCTTCTGCTGAGATTCAGAAATTAGATTGATCTTCGAACATTCCCCAAGCAAGAAAAACAATAAATCACAACTGTAATGAATAAAACAATCAATTTTATAAAAATATATCCTAAATAGATTTCCAATAGTTTTCACTATTATGCTCTAAATATTAATGTAATATTTATGTAAATCTTAAAGAAATACAACATGTAATATATTTTTTGGTTGGAATGTAAGTCACTGCACCACCATACAAGTCCTATGGCAATTCCAAGCTTCATTTGTAATGGATAACATTAATTACGAGTCCTTTTTTATTTCAGGCACAAGCCAGCCTACTATAAACTGGCTTAAAAGCTTCCTCAAAGCCTTAGAATCCATAACAGACGGAGAGGGTCAAATGATAAATGACCAAAATGCTGTAAAGCACACTAATGATAGCATTACACTATAGACATGTCAATGAAAAAACGACTCTATTTTACAGTAAACCATTTTTATTTTTGACATATGAGAAATAGAATATTATATTCATGAAGCTTCAATACATGTACTAAATTCATTGAACTTGTTGAATAAAATAATAATATGTTAGACAGATTCTCGCATAATATGATTTTATTCAACAATAAATTTAGTATTGAATGAACCTCTTAACTTTTTAAAATGTCTTATATATTCTAACTAAAAACATAACAAAATATTTCATTTTTTTTAATTATTAACATGTCAATGAAAATGCTAAAGTTATCATGGTTTGTTTACTTGTATTGTATTATTTTTTCTTAAATAAACTGGCCTTAAACGTGGTTCCAAAAAAAAAAATTCAAAAAAAAAAAATTTAGTATTGCATCTACAATCATTCAATTTTCTCTCTATGTAATATAATTACTTGTGTTTGATATCAGCTAGATCCAGCATGTTGGAACTGTAGAGTAACTTGTTAAAGCCTTCCTCTAAATCTGAGCTAAAATCTCGACTTGGCTGTTGTTGTTGTATCTTCTGTAATATCTGCGGCATCTAGTTTAAAAATAAACATTATATCATGTAAATAAACATTATATCATGTAAATATATGAAAATAAACTGTATATCATGTAAATATATGAAAATAAACTTTATATCATGTAAAATTATGAAAATAAACTGTATATCATGTAAATATATGAAAATAAACTTTATACAGTGAAAGTTGAGAAAACCGGACGCTGAGAAAATCGGAACTCTCTAAATACCGGACAATTAATTCAGTCCCAAATTTTTCCTTCGATAAACTATTCTATTAAACATTGACAATACCGGAATCTGTAAAAACCGAATATCGGACGGTTGATAGGGGACCATGAAGTCAATTATATAGATAATTACCTTGACAATACCGGACGGCGGAGGTGTGAATAACCTTGTGTACTTGTCAATTGGTTGTGTCTAAAATGCTAACTTAGCGGTAATGGGACACTGATTGTCTGATTTGTTTATTATGTCCGTTTTCACAGTTTGAGTTATTGTAAGGCATAGATGTTACCGTTTTATATTAATGCTAAAATGTACGAGGAATTGGTAAGTTAAAATCAGTATGAATAAAAAATTGAGTACTTTTAAGTTTTATACTGCGTTGCTTTTGTATCTTCATTTCCCAAAATATAAATGCAACGGAAAAGACATTTATCGGCGCCAAGTTCAATTCCATCGCCAAAAAGAATTCGCCGATAGTTTTCTATAAGTGACTAAGTTGAATTAATTAAAGACAGAGAAACTTTGCCAAACCTTTAAATAAGGCATCGGCAATATTTACAGTGGAAGGGGGCATTATTAAAAATAAACAAAGTAAACTATGTTCGTTAAATCATTATCCAGTACCCAAATGTAAACAAGTGCGGATATAATAGGACTGTATCTTAATGAGGTAACTGCTGTTCGTTTTAAATCAAAAATTTATTGTAATTAGATGCAATAAAGTGACAAAAATAAATAAAACATGTTACTTTGTAATTTATCATTTCTTTAGCAATTTACGTACATATGATCATGAAAATGCAAATATACAGCATCCGTTGTAAGTCAGTGCTCGGTACACAGGATTCAAAGGGACATTGAGAAAACCGGACCGCTGAGAAAACCGGACAAAACCCTCGGTCCGAAAGCCGTCCGGTTTTCTCAACTTTCACTGTATCATGTAAATATATCATGTAAATATACGAAAATAAACTTTATATCATGTAAATGTATGAAAATAAACTTTATATCATGTAAATATATGAAAATAAACTTTATATCATGTAAAATTATGAAAATAAACTTTATGTAATGTAAATGTATGAAAATAAACATTATATCATGTAAATCAATAAGGCTAAAATTCATATCAAGTATATCAACAATAAAAATTAATTAAATTGTGTAAATCAATGAAATATAAATTTAATATTTAAATATTACTACTCATAATGTAATCAATAAGAAACAAGCAAGACTCATTATCATTATTCTATTGAGTTTTAACTATATTTAAATTACAAAATTGCCTATGACTTCAATTGATCACAGTTGAGCCACAGTATTCTGAAGGTCCTTGGATTGAGTTAAGGTCAGGCTGCAAAATTTTCTACTCATGTGGCACATGTAATGTAAAGTCATTAATAATTTAAAAATTACAATGCTTTTACATACATATACAAGGCTGATGGATAAATTCGCAGAATTGTATTATTTCTGAAACATTAAAAGAAAAACTAACAAATAAATAACACCACGAGATACCTTTACTCTTGACTGACAAAAAGCCAAATAAATCAATGAGATATATTGAACAATAAAGTTTACATGCAAAATCAAAAGTCCCAGGACAGTGGTTGCTATAGACATGGTGTATTCATAGGAAAAATTTGATATATATTCGGCAATATGGAAATGCAATTAAAAACATTTTGGTTTACCTCTATTCGAGTTTTCATGTAATTCAATAAAGTAATTTGGTTTTTAGAGGATAATTCCGCGAATTTATCAATCTTTTACCCCCCCCCCCCTATATTCATAATGTGAAGACATTAAAAGAGTCTTGTTCCAGTACTGATGGGTTTCAGGTCGTTGTGCAAATTTATCTTCCATCCACTAAGGGGCATGTGGTCATTTTACAAGTTTTACTGAGCAGCTTTTGTCTGATTAATTGTATTTGATGTTCTTTTTGTCTATTTTTGTTAAAGTTAGTCAACAGACTTTAGCCCATATACATTTTCTCTTACCTTGAGGAATGAGAAAGCTAACCATCTGTACTGTTCTTGACTTTCCCCAGACTTCAGATCTATTAAACCCATGAAACATGCACGAAACAGCTCACAAAATAAATATGGCCGCTGAAGTTTCTTATAAAGAAAAATAAAAAATAGCATGTTTTATATAAATATACATGTACAATAAACAACATATGAAGTTGATGATGACCTGAAAGGTTTCAGGATCAAGAAAAAGGTTTTAACAGAATAATGCTTATTGTAAATAAAATACGATACAAGCCACCATCATTTTGCTGAAAACCTCCAGATCAGCCAAAATATTTCAAGAAAATCAAACTTGAGAAAAATGTACTTACATTTAAAGAAAAGTAAAATGATACAAGATTCAAGTAATATTTTACATGTTTTGTACGACAAATGACTTATTTTAGCATTTCTGGAACTGTCCATAACCAAGTTAGGTATATCAAGATAAAAATATATAGATAGACCAAATACACCAACAGTATAGAGCCTGGTAAGACTGCATGGATATATATAAAAAGTGGCCTGGTTCTATACCAGGGCATGTTTTTTTTCCCCTTCTATAACAGGGGTTGATGTTCAGCCCCTTTACAATTCAAAATTGCGCTTTTTTTTCACAAAGCGGCTGAAAGAAATTCACAATTTCAAAAGATATTTCACAAAATATCGGGACCTTGGGGTCTCCAAAATTTATTTTCAGCCTTCAGGTTAAACTTAATTTTTGTCAATTCCAAATATGTAAATAATTTCAATCGAGTAAACAAAATGAACACGCCCAGGCCCCTTCACAATTTTGACAAAAAATGCCCTGTATACTGGTGACAATTGTTAATCACTTTTTGCAAAAACGCTAATTAAAACCACAAAATTGACACAATTATTTGCCTGAAAGTAATGAAAAGCTATAGTGCAGTTATTGTATAACAAAATCTATAAAATATAAAATACAAGTCAACTATACCATTAGTTTTTCTAATACAAATAGTTGTTCAACAAATGGCTGCATGTCACTTGTAGGATTTAGGACAGCTTCTAATGCTACCATGGTAACAATTGTAGGACAAATTGGCAGGTGTCCAACATCTAATAGTGTGTCTGGTGGCATTACTGTACTCTTTATACTGAAAAATATTTCATTGTTTTATTATCAAATTATTTTTTTATGGCATCACTTTAAACAAGAAAAGTACAAAAATGTATATATCAACATGTTGAATTAAGCACATTTTAACTTAAGCCAAGGACCATGATATATGTTGTATTACTATCAAAACATTTCTCATTAACTTTCCATCACGTATTTAACACAGTCATGTTTGCCAATATATTAATCTACCAATATAAAATACTTCAATCTTTTTATAGTTGTGTGTTCAAAACAATAACATGTCAACTTTCCACCTTAAATAACTGGGGAAGAGCTAAGGCATGAGCCGGCACCCGAGGTAAACCATAAATCATCAGTATGCTAGCTGGATAGTTTCCTCACATGAAAGTCTCTTGTAGGATTCAAACCTACTGCATTGACAGACAAGTGATTCTTAGACAGTGACCTTGACAACTCAGTCATGGAAGCCCCCTCAGAACGACATAAAACAATAATACAGTAAAACATTATCTTTCATACTTTTTAAGGAAATTTAAGTTGGAGACATCTTGTCGTACATCTTCTGATATGGCATCTTGGGGAATTTGTGACAATGTTCCGCGTACATTTAACTCTGTCTGTTCCATGTCACAGAACACCTCTACAACATACAATATACATACAGAAATATACTGTCAATCAATATACTGTCAACCAATATTATTATTTTATGCATGCCCTTAACCTATCCCTCAAATTTTGTTTGAAATAATCTGGGTTGATATATCAGTATTAGTATCAGATTGTCCCGTAACATGTTACAGGGATTTAACCCGACTTCTGGGTAATAATGAAAACCCCATTATACTTACTGGGAAATAATAAACATGAATAAAGGTTAGCAACATCTATCAGATATAAAAACCTATGAAAGACAAGTCTGGTGTCTATCATCTAATTATGTTATTTCTATACATTTCACTATGGAAATAAGAATGTTAGCATAGCTATTACAGGGCCGGCAAAATCAATTGTCCGAGTTGCCCGAGTCGTAAAATTGTAGGTCCGGGCAAGTAAAATTCTGCAGTTTACTTGTCCGTGGACAAGTAAATTTGGGCGGCTAAAAGAGGAATTCTGAAGAAAAAAATCTAGTTCTTTTTATAATAGATCTAAATCAGAAGGAAAATCACACATTTAATACGAAAACTAGCGTGTGAAGTGTGGTGTCATTCATGAGGGCATTCCGTGCATATTAGGGTGTTACTTTTTTAAGTGTTTACGTAAATAGCGACCAAGCAGGCTTGGGGTTTTCCTTACGTCATGCAGTTACTGCATGCACGCGGCAATTAACTAATTATTGAGGGTACATGTTTGTTTTGGTTTATGTCTGCCGACTTAGCCTCTGCAATCAAATATTTTCGGTAGCAACTGGGTTCTGCCATAAAATTGAATTGGAAGCTGTGGTCTTTTCAAGCCCATTTATTGTTTAGATAGTAGACACAGCATCAATCCCGCAACAATTGTCTTTGAAATACCGCTGTGTTATTTATGAAAATGTAGCTTTTCCAGGTCATTCGGGAATATTTACGCTCATATCGGCAATTTGACTGCTTGAATTTATGTGGACAAAGTCATTTTATAATTTATTTAATGTAAAGATTTCTTGTGAAAATGCCTTTGTTTTTGAATGTCTAATACTGGTGTTAATTAGGGCTGTGCATTGCCATTTTTTTCTGTCACGATGCATATCACGATACTTGCATTTCCAAACGATGCGATTCACGATATATATTGCATACTTTGATAATGTGCGATGCATATTGCGATTCTTATGTTGCGATGCAATACGTATCACAATACTGACTTTCAGACTTTATCTATATAAAAAACTTGGTCATTTGTTCACAGCATAAATACGAATGTAAAATAAAACTATTACAATAACAAAACAATAAACTCTTCGACTTGTTATTATAACTTATTTTCAAGTTTTGATCTTTCAACAATATTACTTATTACTTAAGGATTTTTACTTTATTCTTAAGGATTTTTAATAATACCATAACTATTAGTGTATTGCGATACTTTGCCGCTATATCGATGCATCAGGTGGTGAAATATGTATTGCATCCTGATATATTGGAATTTATAAATTCATTACGATGCATACATCGAGGACAGGGCTGATCGCGATGTATCGATGCATCGATGAATCGTTACACCTCTAGTGTTAATGTATACATGTCAGTTTCATCGTCGCCGATGGTAATGATGTCAAAATTTTCACAATTCATCTGCTGCAACCAAGCGTATATACGTATTTGATATAACATTCTGTGGCAATCATAATTATATCGTTAAAAAGAGCCAGATGTCATCAATTTGACAAATCTAACTCAAGAGTACATATTATTTTTTAACAGGATTCAAATGAATATTATATAGATGAATAGAATAAGGAGTGAATAAATAAGAAATGGTACCAGAGTGCAAAAAAATGAAGACAATATTTTAAAGCAATTTGGGTGCACGGAAAACTGAAAAAGTGCTGGCAAAAGACCAATGCTCCTTCCAGTAAAATATACACAATTTGTCCATCACTGTCGTCCTACTTTAATCTACTGCCGTTAACATTTTATAAATATATTATATTATAATCATAATATATTATATTATTAAACATATGGCATAGAAAGTTGAAAGAAAGTTCATAATCATATTGCTCTTCTTTATTGACATTTGCAGTAAATATTAAATATAAATACGGACAAGTGAACATTGAGTACGGACAAGTAAATTTCTTAGGTTACTTGTCCGTGGACAAGTACAATTTTCTACGATTTTGCCGGCCCTGGCTATTATTATTCTAAGACAAACCTGTTTCTTCACTCTGTGCTATATAAAGCAGTCCATTGACTGTGTAACTGTCTGTAATGGCATCAGCTGCAAGTGCTGCAGCATGGAGGACATTCTGGTACTCAGTCTGACGAGATTCCTGATACTGTTGTACACACTTCAACATGACCTTCAGTAGCCAGTGTACTAATGCCTGTAGAGTCTGACATAATGTGACGCCACCTTCTGACACTGAACTGTAGCTATATACAGTAACATATATGTACATTAAAACTTACCACAACTTTATATACCAAAACTAAAAGGTTTCAATGTTAAGCTTAATCTTTAATTGATATTGAGTCATGTTAACAACAGAATGTAGAATCTTTTCTTCCCAATTCTTGTAAAATGTTCCTTCTTTGTTGTAAAAGTAATTGCAATAAACATTACAGCATACCCTAAAGTAAAACAAGTTCAATATGTACACAATATATGTATTTAAAATGTACACAAGTTTTATTCTTTTCTTAGATTATTTTTGCCTTATTCTTAGACTACTATTCTACTTATCAATAAATTATTTCTGTATGAAATAAATTTAAGTAGAAATGACAGCAAATCAATTACAGTGTTCAAAGTATAATGAAAATATAATGTACTATTACAATGCTTACCTCATATGAAGAGAAAAGTGTTTGGCCATCTCAATCAGGGCCAGTAAACAGTGTGGCTTATTATAATCATCATAGCTGTAGATATATTTGAATGCTGCAACACTTGGTATCAACTACAACACATATAAAAAGTACTTATATAAATCAAATTTGTATAAAACATCTTCAACGGTTTAATTTATACATTTATCATCTGGTCTTGGGGTTGGGATGGGAGTTTTTATAGTTGATTTTGTATGTAAAAAGTATAAATATATTAAACTATTTAAAGCTTCTATTTACAAGCTTTTTCATCAAAAGTAATTAACAGTCTAGAAAGAGAAAAGAAACATGGCAATGCCATGAAACCAGGTTTTCAATTATCACCATTGTAGATAAATATGTTGTAGTTGAAATACAAATACAAGCAACAAATTGTAACTATGTGCAATGTAAATCATGAATAATGTAGGAGGAATTGCACACAGAAGAAGAATTCACTATATATTCTGTATAAGGAAAAAAAACAAAGGGCCATAATTAGGTCAAAAATTATCCAATCACAAAACCCCGACAATATGCGCCAGGGCACTTGATGACAAAGCTTCTGTGAAAGTTTGAACAAAATCCGTTGAGAAATGTAGGAGGAGTTGCGTACAGAAGAAATTGTTCACTATATATTCTGTATAAGGAAAAAAAACAAAGGGCCATAATTAGGTCAAATATTATCTAATCACAAAACCCCGACAATATGCGCCAGGGCACTTGATAACAAAGCTTCTGTGAAAGTTTGGTCAAAATCCTTTGAGAAATGTAGGAGGAGTTGCGCACAGATGAAATTGTTCACTATATATTCTGTATAAGGAAAAAAAACAAAGGGCCATAATTAGGTCAAATATTATACAATCACAAAACCCTGACAATATGCCCCAGGGCACTTGATGACAAAGCTTCTGTGAAAGTTTGGTAAAAATCGTTAAGAAATGTAGGAGTTGCGCACAGAAGAAATTGTTCACTATATATTCTATATAAGGAAAAAAACAAAGGGCCATAATTAGGTCAAACATTATCCAATCACAAAACCCCAACAATATGGGCCAGGGCACTTGATGACAAAGGTTCTGTGAAAGTTTGGTCAAAATACGTTGAGAAATGTAGGAGGAGTTGCGCACAGAAGAAATTGTTTACGCCCGCCCGCCGACATACCTCAATCTAATAACCAGTTTTTTCCTTCGGAAAACCTGGTTAAAAATTAACACTGATAAAGAACACCTTTATTTTATTTCAGCTCTAACTTATAACAGAATGCTGCTTTTTGAATAACCTGAAAAGTTTGTTTTTTTCTTGACATACCACTCCCCAGTACTGGTATCATTTGGTTGTTCATACTTTATATACATGTACCTGCCAAAAGAGGTCATTTCACAGAAATTTTGCATTCTTGCTTACTTGTAATCATTAATAAAAACTTAATCAAAATCAACCACATAGCAATGCACAAAACTTGATTCTAGCGACTTAATTGATCTCTCATCTATGTGTGAATTAGAAAGATAAAAAAATGAAGAACTATTAAATTAACAAACCTTGGTGAAAACAGCATGCTTGACATATGACAATATCAGGCTATTTGGGTGGGCTCCCACCAATGCTTGTTGTAGAAGCAACACTAAAATGATAAAAAAATAAAAATAAAAGAATTAAATTATCAAAATAGGCTAACAAGTGTGTACAATGAGCTCAAACTCTTGTATTTCATTGGCTTAAGTCAAACACTAGTTCTTGTAATAGAGACATCAAGTGACAATAACTGAAAATGGGAGATATTAAATGATGGCCCTGAAGTCGCTCACCTGTATATAGGCCCCTGGAGCGGGGCCAGTTTAAACCCCAGGGATTTTATTTGAACAAACTTGGTAGACACCCATTAGAAAATGTTTCATGCTAAACATCTAAGGTCTAGCTGGTCAAGTTTTTTCTTTACACATATAGTTAAAAACAATGACACACCTGGGGCAGGGCCAGTTTTGACCCAAGGGCTTTTATTTGAACAATCCTTGTAGACACTTACTAGAAAATGTTTCCTGCTTAATATCTAAACTCTAGCTATTCGGGTTTTTTCAAAGAAGATTTTTAAGTTTTTGCTATACACATATAAGGAAAATCAATGTCCCCCGGGCGGGTCCAATTTTGACCCCAGGGCTTTTATTTGAACAAACTTTGTAGACACTCACTAGAAGATGCTTCGTGCTTAATATCTTAACTCTAGCTATTTGAGTTTTTTCAAAGATTTTTAAAGTTTTTGTTATACACATAAAAGGAAAATGAATGACCCCTGGGTGGGGCCAATTTTGACCCCAGGGCTTTTATTACAATAAACTTGGTAGACACTCACTAGAAGATGTTTCATGCTTAGTATCTAAACTCTAGCTATTTGGTTTTTTTCAAAGAAGATTTTTTAAGTTTTTCCTATACACATATAAGGCAAATCAATGATCCCCGGGGTGGGGCCAATTTTGACCCCAGGGCTCTTATTTGAACAAACTTGGTAGACATCCATAAGAACATGTTTCATGCTAAATATCTTAGCTCTAGCTCTTTGGGTTCTTAAAAAGAAGATTTTTTAAGTTTTTACTATATGCCCCTGGGGCGGGGCCAATTTTGACCCCAGGGCTTTTATTTGAACAAACTTGGTAGACACCCATTAGGGGATGTTTCATGCTAAATATCTTAGCTCTAGGTCTTTTGGTTCTTTAAAAGAAGATTTTTAAAGTTTTTACTATATGCATATAGGGAAAATCAATGACCCCTGGGGCGGGGCCAATTTTGACCCCAGGGCTTTTATTTGAACAAACTTGGTAGACACCCATTAGGGGATGTTTCATGCTAAATATCTTAGCTCTAGGTCTTTGGGTTCCTTAAAAGAAGATTTTTTAAGTTTTTTATTTTATGCATATAGGGAAAATCAATGACCCCCTGGGGCGGGGCCAATTTTGACCCCAGGGCTTTTATTTGAACAAACTTGGTAGACACTCACTAGAAGATGTTTCATGCCAAATATCTAAGCTCTAGCTCTTTGGGTTTTTTAGAAGAAGATATTTAAAGTTTTTTCTTTTGGTTGCCATGGCAACCAGAGTTCTGCATGGAATTAAATTCTTTGAACAATTTTCAAAGGTGACCACCAAAGGAACATTCCTGTGAAGTTTGGATGAAATTGGCTTAGTGGTTTATGAGGAGATGTCATTTAAAGTAAAAGTTTACGGACGACGGCCGGACGCCGGACGAAAAGTGATCACAAAAGCTCACCCTGTCACTTTGTGACAGGTGAGCTAAAAAGCTAAAAGTGACCAAGAGTACTCTACTGAAAGCGCATGCATCACCCGAGTATCCAAGTATATATCTAATAAATAATATTGGCAAATTGCCTCAAAGGCAGGCTGTGTTTTGACTTTTAAAATAATTTCTTGACATGAAGTTTTTTAGTGCCTTAACCCATTACTTCATAAATATTTTGTGAAAAATGGCTGTTTTCATTGAAAAGTCTCCTGTTACAAGTTCAAATTGCTATAATACTATAAAAACTGCTTCAACACTAATCAAACTTGGCACAAATGTTGACTGGACCATTGCCCTTGCAACAACATGCTCAAGCTTAAATTTTCTGTTACCATGGCAACGAGGGGACATCTAAAAATTGCCAAAAATCACTATTTTGCGTTGATTTTTTCCATCAAAATTGATTTGAAAGTGCTGCAACTTCTCAATGGATTGAGATAGAGTCAAATGCTTTTCAGCGTTGCTTACGCGTTACCTTATGATCAATCTGGGGTCATTTATAGCCTCTCATAGGTCCAAAGTTTTCTTGGCGATGAGGGGACTCCCACCCCTTCAAACACCCCAAACAGAAGGGGCACTACCCTTCTGGCAACCCCTGATGTATCTTTTGGTTGGGGGGGGGGGGGGGGGGGCCGCGCCGAAAAAGTGGTAACTTTTTTTAACAACATTTTTCAAACAAAAACAAGTGTTTGGGGCCTAAATAAGGCATTTTTTCACCATTTGAGACTACGAAAAGGGAGGGGGGGGGGGGTAAAAAAGGCGTTAAAAGGCGTGTATATCGCGTAATGGGTTAATGTGCCTCATTTGATAAAAAAAGGATATCAGTTACAGGGCATGGCGTCTGAGGATGAGGCGGTTTCAGCTATTTAAGCCCCCTCCCTTGTGGATCCATGTATGCATATCCTTAACATCTTACCATGTTGGGAAAATGTGGTAAAAAGAACAAAATAAATAGTTTATATATACAGACATACCAGCAATTTCCTTAGTATCAGCTCCAGGTTGGGCTGTACCAATCAGCTTTTTTAGGTGGATGCCCCATTGTATTTCATTCCATCGTTCGCGCCATGCTCTCATTAACAACCCCTTCACTTTCTGTACTAAAACGTTATCTTGCCTGCCCGACTGTCCACTTCCCGAATCCATTGTTCACTCTGGGCCCGAATAGGTTCGAGTACGAACTAAGAAACCGGGAAAAGGGCCACTCCACAAATTTATTATTCGCTATCTTATGTCAAACTAATTGTATCCGTACAATGTATTAAATTGAGTGTTCAATATATGTATCGATGTAATATTCAAATAATAAAAGCGAGAAAATCAGAATAATTAGCAAAATAAGTGATCTGTGTTCCCCAAACGCTTGCATACGATTGAACAACAATAAATCTTGACCTAGCAGGTTAAACACTACCAGATTTATTTCCTGTAGTACCGTATGGTACTGGTTACGGGAGTTGACGGAAGTTAACGGAAGGTTCCGGACCAACCGGAACTAGTGTGTTAGGCTGACAGTTAGGCGCCATATTTGTGTATAATACATAACCAGAAGAATTAGGCAATTCCTAGCTTGGCTACGATCCAGACGTGGAAGGTAAGTCGATTGTTTGTATTGTCAATCCCTTTATAATCAATCGCGACAGTTCTATATTGGTGGCAGCGGTAATTTTTACGAATTCCGTTCCGAAAGATAGACGCTACCAAAGGTCCATATTTTTACCGATTGTGTACGAATTTGCCCTCAAATTCTGCACTCATAGAACGGAGTCTACCTGAATTCTTGGTTTTGTTCATAGTGGGCCAATCTGCTTGAACGATTTAAACCAGAATTTCTACGTAAATAATCGTAGTTAAGCGGGAATTTGCCATCAAATTCCGCTTAGGTTAGACGTTGCCTGGAAGGACCAAATTCCTTGGTATTTGTTTATTTTTCGGATTTCCTTTTCGTTCTGCTGCCACTGGTACAGTAACTGTTATATTTTGATAAACTCCATTTAGCCCTTTTGCCATATAAAGGGGGAGAAGATAGATACTGAGATTTATTTAGTTAAAACACATTTTAACTTGAATATTTCTCGGTATCTTTCGTTGTTATGGAGAACATCAATATAAAGGGAAAGTTCGAGATATTTTCTCAGGAAGCAGAGGTTGTGCAACCACCCTTGGTTGCCATTAACTTTGCGTCTGAGGAAAGGCTACAGGCAATACCTAATGTGGGTGCAAGCCTAGCCAAGGCGCTCATTGCAGTGAGGGAGAGCTCTGGTATTATAACCAGGAGATTTTAGAGGCCGTCTGTCGTCGCAAGTTCTCCCCTGAGATACTTGCTATGATAGACTTTAGACAGAATATGTCTCTGCCAGCTGAGAATACTGACAAGCTAGGCCAATCTAGCTTGGAGGTAGACACAGATGAGGACGAGGAGGAAGATATTCAGCCAAGTGCACATGATTGGTTGGAAATGGTGAAGGTGGTGAAAGCGCAACCAATGTTCTGGCCGCTCACAAGCAGCAACAACGGTCATCTGTTTGCACCCTTGCAACAGATGACAAGGTTTTTCCACATAAAAATCTGAAGTTGATGACTCCTGCGGATTTTACTGCCAAAAAAGTCAAAATCCACACACCCCCTACCTTACCACTTCCAGACTATACCACCCCTAAACGTACCATACGTTTTGACCAGGTAGTGGATAGTGATTGCAGTGATGACTCTGTGTTCGCCAGGGCACCAATTGCCCATAGGCGTACTAGGGTTCGTAACCGGATATCTGCCTTTCCCGAACACTTATCAATATGATGGTAAGAGTAATTGGGAACCGTTCTTTTTAAAGTTCACTCGCTATGTCCAACAAGGCGAGTGGACTGATGAAGAACAAGTTAGCTGCCTTGTCTGCTGTTTAGATGGTAAAGCGCTCGAGTATTATGCGCTTGTCTGTGAACAAGAAGGTCAGCTTACCTACAAGAGGCTGGTTAGCAAGTTGGCTGCCCGATTTGGCCAACATGAGTTGCCAGCTGCTGCACAGGTAAGTTTTCAGAATGCAGCACAAGAGACAACCGAGTCCCTAGATGAGTGGGCTGACCGAGTGCTCACTCTAGGTTATAGAGCTTTTAAGAAGCTGCCAGAGGAGTTTGTCACTGTCCAAACAGTGAACAGATTCTGTCAGGGTATGGTTGACAAAGAGGCCGGTCTCCATGTTTGCATGCAGCAACCCAAGTCTGTTCATGCAGCCATACAAATGGTACGCCAGTACCAGCAGGTGTACGCAGCCATGTATGGTGACCGGAAAAAACCGGAAAAGGTTTTTGCTGTTGCCTCCCAGCCATCACGGGAGCAGCAGGCAAAGGATATGTCAACTGATGATTTAAAGCGAAGCCTTAAATGACCTGGAGCAAAGACTGACAAAAACCTTTTTGTCAGAATTGTCCCAACCCCGCAGATCAACAGGATGCTACAATTGTGGCGAAATAGGGCATTTCAAAAGAAATTGCCAAAAGCTTAACGACAACCATAAGTCGTTAAACTAGAAAGGGACGGTGAAAAAGTAGGTCGTTTCCCGTCCCTGTCTGCAGACAAGACCTGCAAAATTAAAAAATCCCGGTTGGCTGCCAATTTCAGCCAAGTAAGCGCGGGGGGAGTCGAACCAGACCCTATTGTTGTCTGTCAGGTCAATTCCTCTTCCCAGTTTACCATGGGGGTCCAAGTAGGGGACGTCCAAGTAACAGCAGTGGTAGAAAGTGCTGGCTAGGTGACCATCTTTTCTGATAAGGTCTACAATGCCCTGCAGCAAAAGATCCCCAAGATAAGGGATGTCAAGCAGCAAACGGCTGGCAAGGAATTATCTATGGCAGCTTTTGTAGCCGGTCCGGTTAAGTTAAAGGTTGGTTACCAGTGGTATCAGGTCAACATGTATGTTGCCCTAATTGAGCAACAAATGCTCTAAGGTTTTGAATTGCTTCATAACCCTGGCAAATCTGTGTTGGACATGAGCAAAGCAGAGCTCTACTTTGATGGTATGCGAATCTCCCTAGATGTCCATTCATCAGATAGTCCCTTGGTATCCAAGGTCACGGTGTCTAAGAGACAGGTTATCCCTCCACACTCTGTGGCGAGAGTCCAATGCAAGTTACACTCTCCCCTGCATAGCTATATCGTGGAACCAGTGAACCAGAAGAAATTTCTGGTTCCCCGAGTGTTACATGAAGGCACTAACACCCCTGTGTTGTGTCTTGTTAATCCATCAGATAGCTACCGCCTTGTCAGGAGGGGAACAGAGATAGGGAGGGCATTTGCCATCAGTGAAGTTGTCAGGAATGAGTGTGATGTTGAAACATCTTTGCCCAGCAAAGTGTTTGAAACATCAGGTGCGGTTGGTCCAATACCACCACACCTGCAGGAGGTCTATGACACCTCTTGTGGCAGCCTTGATGAAGGTCAACGGATTCAATTAGCGCAATTGCTGATTGAGTTCCAAGATGTCTTCATCAATGGTGAACTTGACCTTGGTGACTTCACTGATAAGGAACGTGATATAGATACCAAGGAGGCAAAGCTTGTGAAGCAAGGTATGAGGCGAAAGCCAACATGCTTTGCAGGGGAAGAAGAGGCCCAGCCTCAGGAATGCCGAAGGCTGGGGGTGTACAAGATGCCACATCCAAATGGGCATCTGCTCCAGTTTTGATAAGAAAACATGACGGCTCTGTGCGTTATTGCATAGACTATAGGATGTTGAATAAGGTTACAGTCAAAGACGTGTATCCTTTGCCTTTAGTCGATGATTGCATGGACACATTTGCTGGCAGTGTTTGGTTTTCAAAATTGGATGCCAACTCCGCATTCTTCCAGTTGAACATCAGAGAAGGCTTTGGTTTGTGTGGTGCCCCAGCCACATTTGCCAGAGCAATGGACTTAGTCCTGAGAGGTTTGACATGGAAGACAGTCCTGGCATTTCTCGATGATATCATCGTGCTTGGACGCAATTTTGAGGACCATCTCTCAAACTTGCGGGAGGCTCTTTCGAGATTTCGGAGGCATAAGCTAAAGCTTAAGCCGAAGGAATGTATCTTCTTCCAACAAGAAGTAGAGTTTTTAGGCCGTAAAGTCGGCAAAGACAGCATTGCTATGACAGAACATGACATAGCAGTGGTGAAGGATTGGCCTGTTCCAAACAGTGCCAAGCAGGTAGAGAGGTTTATGGGGTTGGTTAACTATCATAGAGTGTTTGTTAAGGACTTCTCTAGGGTAGCAGCCCCATTGTACGCCGTCACAGGCAAAGCCAACTTTGTCTGGGGCGAAGAACAAGCAGAGTCATTCAGGACTTTGAAGTGCTTGTTGACGCAACCTCCGGTGTTAGCGTTGCCAAATCAACATGACGAATTTATCTTGGATACGGTCGCTTCCAATGATTCGATTGGAGCAGAGCTCTTGCAGGTGCAAGAGGGCCAAGAGAAGGTTGTTGCATTTGGTAGCTGTGCTCTTACCAAGGAGCAACAGGGTTATTGTATGACCAGGAAAGAGCTGCTAGCAGTAGTTCGGTTCACCAAACAGTTCCGACACTACTTGCTAGGAAGACCATTTGTGGTCAGGACTGACCATTCAAGTCTGAGGTGGTTGATGAATTTCAGGGAGCCACAAGGGCAACTGGGGAGATGGCTGGAAGAGCTGTCCCAGTTTAACATGGTGTTGAGACATCGTGTGAGTCGCGAGCATTCCAATGCTGACGCAATGTCAAAAATACCACTGCAAAGTGGGACATGCCGAGGTGGAATTGCTGGTGCGCGGCTTGATCAGTTGCCTTGTGTTGGATGTGAAGATTGTAAAAAGGCCCATACCAATTGGGTCAAGTTCTTCACAGATGTAGATGAGGTGGTACCGTTGGTAACCAAACCAGTGGAGTCTTCGGATTCCGGTTTAGGTGACCAGCAGGGTACCAGGGTTTCTGTCATCTACGGGATTGATTTTCCTGAAAGCCAATCAGATGCAGATGGCCAGCCGGTCCTTGCCAATGAGGTCGGTGAGCATGGTCAACAGTCCCTCTCTGAAGGCCAAATCTTCAGTGGAGGGGAAGAGAAGGTAAGTATAGGTTGCGTTAGAGACCGAACGTCTGATATCAGGGCCATTCCTGAAAATGTAGATGTTCCGTTACTGGCACAGATTTTAGAGGATATTCCCTGTGGCCAGCAAGGATCTCGGTGCCCAGTGCCGGGATGTTTTGAGGATCTTACCCAGAGACATGCTATGGAGGCCCACCTCCCTGGCATATTCCAAATGTGTTTGACAGGTGAAAGCATTACAAACAGAAGGATTGGTGCTTTGAAGCTGGTGATCAGGTGGTTATTGGGGTCTAATAGCACTTTGTTTGACCTGGTAACT